AGTTTTTGGCATCCCTAGGTGGGCCGAATATTGTATTGCCCCTCCCTCGGACCTCTTGTTCGGTAACAGTGCTGCTTTAAATACAAGTGTTTGGAGGAGAGACAACAGACGTATAAATGGTAGAGATGAGTGACATGAAGGAAAATAGAATAAAGGAACGAGGGGGACTAACAGGGAAGAGGAGGGGCCTCTACTATGAGCCAAACTGCATCTCTGCAAAATACACATGCGAACTGCTCAGACTGCGACTGTGTTTGGAGATAAGGCCTTTGAGGCCAAATGAGGCCGTGTGGGTGGGCCCTAATCCAATCTTACTGGTGTCCTTATAAGAGGTTAGGCCACACACACACACACACACACACACACACAGAGGGATGACCTCGTGAAGGCACAGGACAGCCATCTACACAGAACCAACCTCGTGGCCACCTTGACCTTGGACTTCCAGCTTCCAGGACTGTGTGCAGATACATTTCTGTTAAGTCCCCAGTCTGCAGTATTTTGTTGCAGCAGCCGAGCTGATGAGTGTGCATGGAAACCGGTCATTTGACTTTGATCAAGTGCCAACAGAGAGGAAAAAAGGTCTGAGCCTTCAGCCCTGGAGTGTTCCAGAATGCTGGCTGGCAGGCTTCCGAAGGGGAGGAACCAGCCAAGGAAACCAGGAGGGGAGGGGAGGGGAGGGGAGAGGAAATACAGCAAGACATGGTGTCCCAGAAGTCAGGGGAGGGGACCTGAGCAGGAGGCTGGGCTCAGGGTGTCCGGTGGCACTGAGGCCTCCAGGAAGATCCACTTACCAGCCAGATGGGGAGCACAGGTGCCTCCACCTGGACGGTCCCCACACAAGGGTGAGGTGAGGAGAAAGCAGAGCTGGTGGACGTCTGCCGGCAGGACGGTTGGTCTTTGGACAAGTTTTAGCATCAGGGGGGAAAGGAGAAGTAGGGTGGTATAGGGAACCTATCTGCGTGGCAGTGGCAAATGTAGCCCAGCCCGATTTGGAAAACCAGCGGGGAGCGAGTCGGCACACAGGAAGCAAGCCCACAGATAGGTTTTCCTATGGGGAACCAGGCCCGCATTTACCTAGGCTGCTATGAGGCTTGCTTTTTGCTAAAACTCCCTCCCCCTAAGTTGAGGCAGAAAATGGTTACCGCATATCATTACAGTAACTTCTTAAAGTCTGTACTGAAACCTCCCAAGGTCTGCCTTGGTCTGCAACATCCTTTTCTTGGAAGCAATTAGCAACATTCTTTCCTTTGTTATCTATAGAAGGTAATTACCTAAAGCGAACCTGTGCCTAGTAAATGAGGACCATCCTCTATGTAATGTGCCCAGAAAAGCAATAAAAGCTTGTCCAGGCCGGGGTCAGCACGCTTTCTCATTCAGAGAGAGGCCATGCTGTCCCTCTATCTTCACAGGACTTCTGCCCTCTGTGTGAATTTGTTCGTCGCAGCCACAATGCCCGGATCCCGCAGGCCGGAGTCCACATCAGGGTGGTACTGGCAAAGGAGCATCTAGAGCTCCTTTGGAAGGAGCATCTAGAAAGTTGTCTCTGACAGGGAAGTGAGAGCATATTTGTGTGCTGTGAGAATGTTCTAGAATGTTCTCCACTGGAGTTACAAAAGGAGTGGGCGGAGAGGGTGGTAGGAGGAGAGTCTGTGAGGGGAAGTGGAAAGGACCGATGGGGCGGAATGGGCCTTCAAGGGGCCATGGACAGCCCCGCGCTGGAGGGCAAGGCCGGGCTGCAGGGGAGGGAAGAGCAGGGCATTCGACCTTCTCCACCCACCCCTAGGCATCCATGCCCCCTGACACGCACCCTGCACCCCCAGCCTGGCCCCACAACTTGTTTTGTTCACACAACGAGCGAAGACGAATGGTGGTCTCCAGGTCCGCAATGTCACAAGAATTGTGACAGATACATCTAAAGTCAAAGCAAGCACATCAGTTTCAGTCATTTTATTTTCATTGAAAGATCCAGGATCCAATCCATACCTCAGAGATAAGTTACCATGAAGATTCAAAAGGTACAATCACGTCCATCCCCAAGGCTTGGTTTCCTAAACTTAAACAGCTTTTCTCAAATACAAATATTCCTGAGAGAAAGGAAATGGAGAGGGGTGCCTGCCAGATGATGCCCAGGCGAAATTCCCAGCAGGCAGACCCCCTCTCCCTCCGCCCGCCCGCCCCTGCCACTACGAGAGGCCCTCCAACAGCAGGAGTCTTGTTTCTCTGCTTAAAAACGCAAGCAAAACAAGAAATCTCCATCTCTTACAAAGTATGCCAAGGTTGCTCAACATACTTTGCTAAACATATAAAATCAATTTAAATTTTAAAAATATTGTCCCAAACACAAAATAAATATAAAACATCATGTAAAAATTTGTTTAAAAAACATTGTGCACACATTGCAGAATTTTCAAGAAGAGCATATCTAGCATATCTACCTATAAGAACTAACCAACGGAAGTACGTCATTATTTAAGTAATTTACTTTTTATTAAATATGTCTGTCATTATTAAATCATAAATAAACCATATGCCTACTCCCAAAGTATAACAAGAGTCTAGGAGATCCCTCTACAATACGGGAAGACGGTATTTTCAAGTATCATTCAGTTACATATAAATTTACTTCTATTTTTGTCTCTTAGGAAAAACAGAATCTGACCACAGTGTCTCCTAGATTGGCATGATTTCCAGTCATGCCGGATTTTTCTTGCTTTCTTGTTTGACCGGGTATACACTAAGCCAATTCTCCCCGATCTGGCATTAACTAAGGGGGTCATCACTTCTTCAGTTCATCTGTCTGTCTGCAGACTAAAGGACTGGAGCCTGGAGACCGCGGGCCCTGCACCGACTTCCCGGGAGCATGTGCGTGGCGGGATCGCTGGGCCAGGCTGTGTGAATGCCACGCCAGCCACGGAAACTCAGCGTGCCTGAGGCACCAATGTCCTAAACCCAAGAAGGGAGGTTGTACAACACACAGACAATGCAAAACAGCGAGACACCAAAAATACACTTGGCTATGGACGTAATTTTTCCACTTAGATTTAAGGTTGATTATTCTGACCACCTGTCAGCTGTGCCTCTGAAGTCCTTGCGCACACACTCACATACCCTGGCTCAAGCCAGACACTTCTCCATGTGTATGTAGGAGGGTGACAGAAATGACCGGCCGTAGTGGCTTGCTTGGTAGGTAGAAATATTAGTTTGACAGTGAGCCAGGTCTGCAGGGAAACTCAAAGCCGAAAAGCAGGAAAGACTGGTTGATGGTCACCTGGCACATGAGTGGTGGAGGCAAGACTAGAACCTGCTGTGACTCTTGGGCAGCCCCTCTTCTGATAAGTGATAAGCACAGAGCCTCAGAAATCTTAGAAGCAAACACCTCCATGTAGCAACCAGCGTGACCCAGCATCACCCATTAGAGGTCTCACTGATCTCTAAGCCAGGGTAGGGTGGCTGCTTCAACCAGCCCAGGCCACACTCCAGTGGGGGAAGGACCACCAGAAGTTCATTTTGGATGGTCTCATTAACGCAATGTCAAGTTCACAGTGCAATGTACAAGACAGCGAGCAAGAGAGAGTTCTGGGCTGAAAACAAACAGGGGGTCATCAACAATGATGAACATTTAAAACCCCAAGGCCAGATGAGTCCTCCAGAGCACAGAGCAGAGACAGGGAAGAAAGGGGGCCCGAGGCTGGGCCTCCAGCACACCCGTACTGGAAGTCAAAGCGAAGACACGATGAGCAAAGGAGGCGGAAGAGGAGTGCCCAGTGAGTAGGAGGAGACACCAGAGCATCAGACGTCCCGGACGCCAGTGAGAAGAGCTGGGCTGGGAACAGCAAGCCCAGGCGTGTGTTCTGGCAAGATGAGAACTGAGAACTGACTGTGGACCCAGCCTCACGGGTCACTGGTGACCCTGATGAGTACCACCTGATGGAGCAGGGGTCACCCAAGTCTGATTAGACAGGGTTTCAGAAAGAACAGGAGACGGGTGTCTGAAGACAGATATATGCAACTCCCCTGAGGGCACGAAGAGCAAAGGGAAGGGAAAGGGGAAAGGGGGCGCGAGGGAAGGTTGCTGTGGTTGTTCAGGTAGGAAATGACAGCGCGTTTGCACGCCTGTGGGGCAATCCGGCCCAGAGGGAGAAAGTGACAGTGAGGGTGGGCATGAAGCACAGGCAGGAGTCTCGCTCCGCAGGCGGTGAGAAGAGCTGGAGATCAAATCCAGAAGTGGAGGGGCTGGTGCCTGGGGAACCCAGTGGACGGCAGGGTCCAGGGATCCAGACAATGACGGGTGGGTACAAGTAGTGGTTGGAGACTGAGGACACGCCAGGAGGGGTGGCCTGAGCAGGGAGGGAGCTCCCGAGTCTTCCTGGACACTGGCAGCCCAGAGCCACGGGGCTGCGTGTCACCAACACATGGTGCCCCCAGTGGCTTGGGTTCACATGCTGTTCCTGCTACTTTCAGTTACGTAACCGCAGGCTAGCCAGTCGCCCTCTCTCTCTGCCTCGGCCTCCGCATCGGTGAAGCGGGGACCCTGGTAGTGCCCTTGCAGCGGTGCCACTGTGAGCACGTGAGGAGGTAGCACCTGCACATGCTTGTGCTACAGCTGATGCCGAAAAGGCAGGACCCTGGGCTGCCGGGGCAGAGGGGCTGGCTTGCCTGGCCTGGGCCCCACGGACACACATACCGGACAAGCAGATGTCTAAGCACAGACCCAGCCTTACTGCCCAACCAACACCATTACCTGCGGGCTCAGAGGTAGCCCATCCTACGGGACTGAGGGACGTGGCCTTGGCAAAACCTGGGCTTCAGAAGACATGCACAGTGTCCGATTTTCCCACCTGAAAAGGCGGCTCTTCTGAATGTGACCCAGCACACTGGGAGCAGCCAAGGGAAGGAAACACATCTAAAAAGCAGCAGCTCAGTCCAAACACACACACACACACACACACACACACACACACACACACACAGCACACACAGACACACACACACTCACATTGCACTTCGGCGTGGCCGTGGCAGTTTGCAGCGAATATCTCTTCCTGAGTTCAGGTCAGAGCTTAGTCCAACACATATATGTTACGTAGCCATGTGAGGCCTTTGCTCTGAGCGCTGGCAAAGTCAAGTCCAATAAAGTAAACACTAAACCTTCTATTCCTATGATCAGCAGCAAGATGACCAGCATGTAGTGTGACCATGGCTGAATGAGCCAAGGCCCTTGCAAAGAAGCACCCTATTTTCACACAACCCTGCACAAAAGGCGCGCACATCGTCTGGGAGGGCGTGGAAGGCTGAACTCCACACCACGAAACTCAACTGTGTCTTGGCCACATGAGTAACTCAAAGATGGAACTCGGGTCAGACTTGGGCAACAGACACAGGAAGACCGCTCACTCGAACAGGGCTCAGTGCAGCGATCAGTGTCCGAGCGGACCTTGAAAGGGTCTTAACAAAAATCCACCTGAATTCCCGGAAAAGCTCCCAGAAGACTTCCCCGACCAACCCTTGCACCCCACTGCCCTCGGGTGTGAACTTAGAGACCTGACGCGCAGCCCCGAGCGTCCTGTCTGGGGCAAACAGACGGGAGGCTGGAGGTGGCTCGGAGGAGATGCCATGCTCTTGGGGGGGGCAGCCGTGTGCCAACGAGTCCTCCACACGAGGGGCCAGGCTTGGCGGTAATTTCTGAGCAAAACATATAAAAACGGGTTTGTCGGGGACTGAGCTGCAGCCATGGCAGGCTCTCTTCTGCGAGGAGCTGAGTACCCTGCTCACAGGGACTCAGTGCCCACCCCACCCCCCACCGCAGATCCAGGGCAGGAAAGAAGGCAGCGGGGCACACGTGTGCTCACCCCAGTCTTAGCCCAGGAGAGCACAACACGGGGAGCTGAGGAGGAGGGGCCCCGACGAGGACGGACCGGCACCAGCAGCAGGGCTGCGCTCGGAGCCTCCTCGCCACCACTCTTTTCCAAGGAAGTGGCGGACCAAGCTAGGGGCGCCCACTGGACCCTGACAGCCCTCGATGTCCCTCCCTGCTCCGACGTTTGTTGGCTGGGAACCTGAAGACAAGTTCCTGTCCCTCCCAAAGCTGCTGTTTCCTTCTGTGTCAAACGGGAATGACAACACCCCCACCTCACGTGGACGCTGGCCCCTGAAATGAGAAAGTGCAGGTGTGCGCCCAACACCTGGCACGATGGCAGAGGTGCCCAAGAGGTGGCGCTATTATTGCTTGGGGCACTAAGTCGAAAGTGATCAGTGGTTTCATCAGAGCTCTCGTTCCAGCTTAGATTTGGAACACTACATGACGTCACCCTCCCTCTCCTTCCTCCTCTCCCTTCCTCCCTCCCTTCCTGTCCCCTAACAATTTTCAGCAATGCCATCTCAAGATTTTTCAAAGACCATCACCGCGGATTGTCAGAAGCACATCCAGAGGTGCCACTGGGCTCCCCTCACTCAGCTGGACACTCTTCTCCCAGGGAACTTTCCAGAGCTCGCCAATAGATCAGCATTTTCTGAGGCCCCACAAAATGGCAGGCCACGATCTTCCTGAAACGGCAGATGGAAAAGCTCAGCCCGCCGGGGAAGAAGGTCTGCTGGGAGTGAAGCTCCTCCAGGCCGATGTCCAGTTTCTTAAGGCAGAGCCCCACGAAGACGTCTTCCAGCTTAAGGAAGGGGACGCTTTCTGACACGTTGTACACCTGACTCGCGACGTCGCTGGAAAACACGTAGGCTGTGCCGGAGCAAAACGGCGGGTACTTCTCCCACGGATATTCGTATTTACTGACAAACCACTTACTCTGTTTCTGCCGGATCGGAAAGTCGTTCATTTTCAAGAAGCCAGTGAAAAACCTGGTTGTCCTGTTTTTCTTCAGCAGCAGCTCCGTCAGATAGTAGACGTTGATGAACATGTCGGAGTCTGTTTTCATCACGAATGCTGCCTGGGGACAGAAGTGGTGGATCCACTCTATCCCCATCATGGTCTTCAGGGTCAAATTGAAATAAACGTCCACAAAGTCTTTCTGGATGATGTCGCGATGTCGCCTGCTTTCCTGGGCCACCGCCTCCACGATGGTCTTCCTGGCACTGATTCCCAGGAGGAAGAATGTTTTTATCCGCCTTCCTCCCACGACCATTTCTTTTCCCCACGTGTTCCGGATGACCAGGCGCGCGAACTGCTGCTCGGGCGATGATGTCACCAGCAGCACAAGGAAGGGAGGGTCCTGCTGGCAATCGGTGTCTGGGAGCTGGAGGAACTTCCCGCTGTCTTTCTTGAAAACAAACAACTCTTCTTTAAAGAAAGACAGATCATGCATGCTGAAGTACAAACAGAGGGCTCCCAGAGCCACGAGGGAAATATACATCCACCTCATCTTCACGGAAGCCATCTGAAAGGAGCAAAATGGCACAGTTACACCTCGAACACAGGGGAGCATGGCAGCCTTATCCCGGGAGGCTGGGACGGAGGAAGAGACCCGTGTTTCAGGGCTGGTGTTTCAGCAGCTCTGGGGTCTCAGTGCACGCAGACCAGATGCCGTGGTTCCACAGTGAGGCATGGAGGACTGTCAGGGCTGTGCACTCCACGCTGTACAATCAGGCCTGCAGAGAACAGACACTGGTCCTGGCCCCAGGGCCAGCCGCCCCTTCACGGCCCCTTCACCACCCCTTTCTAGAAGGACATGCAGCCATGTCTCTCACTAGCTCCTGCCAGCTCTGCCCTTCTCTGAGTCTATAACAATGTCTGGTGGGAGCACGTACAAGACTGGAAACCACGCGCACTAGATCCGAAGGGGCGGGCCATCCACGTTCTTCTCGGAAGGAATCTAGCACCATTTCATCACTCCCAGAAAGCAGACCAGTTCCCTGACTTGTACAGCTGCCCTGCACTCCACCCCTGCTAGTGGTGATTTGTTATTTTATTGTTTCAGGTTACTTCTTCACATCACTCGAGTCTGTCACCTTTTGCCCAACCACCTCTGTCTGTTCTCAACAAATACAGGATGATTCATGTTAATGTCAGAGTGTTAAGAAAGCAAAAAACTCACATTCTCCTGGGCAAGATGAACCACTGGTTTGAAAGCTAAGCCACAGGGTAAAGTCCAAGAGGAAATTTGTTCCACGCTGTTGTCAGCACAGGCTGTTCTGGGCTCTCAAGTTCTAGCTTGGTTAGCTTCCTGAAAATGATGGCGTTCTTTCTCAGGAATCAGTAAAAGAAAACAACGACAAAAAAGAATAGCGTCATTCGAATCGCTCTTGCCTCACAAGCAGCGCTTCGCCACCTACCGAGCCTCACTAGTCGCTAGAGCCCCCCCCCTAACCTTCATAACCTTGAAAGGACGGTACAGCCCCACCCACGCTCACTTTCGTCATCTGTAAAACAAGTACAATGGAGACAAATTCCACTACCTGGTTCACCTGTCGACAAAAATAACATCACGCAACTGTCTGAGCGTCCTTTCTGGCCCAAGGTACAGTAGTAGCAGCACTCGGAGCACTGTACAAAGATGTAAGTCAGTCACCGTCCCATTTCTCCTGTCACCGTCGCCTCCTCTACACCCAAAGTGTGGCTGACGCTCGAAGAACTTACCATGGAGAAGGAAGAAACCCATCAGTTCTCAACTTGGTGCCTGTGTCTTCAAAATGCCACCCCACCTGAGAGGACACAGGGGTCCGAAGAAGAAGAAATGACCAAGTGACATGAAGGAACATCGTTAACTGTCAAATCAGCACCTACTCCATTTTCCACTGTGACTCAGCTAAGGGTGCTGCAGCACAGAAAAAAAAAAGTCCCCCTGTGGACTTTGGGCAGGCTGTTGGGATGGGGACACAGGGGTGTGGGAAGCAAAGACTTTGGTCCCGGGCGGCTTATCTGTTGGGAACCACCCTGTCTGGTTTCAGGAGCTAAGGCTGAGTGAGTGACCTTGGGACCATCAGCCACTAAGGAAACAAAGCTTATCTCCCTGGCAGGAGCGCTGCTTCTGCTCCTTTTTCCATAACTGGCCTCCAGTGCTTGGTTGGTTAATGACGGGCAAGATTCCCCAAGGGAGGACTGACTTAAGACAGGCATGATCACGTGGAGGCCCAGGGAAGGACTTGGGGGGCTATGAAGAAAGGGGGTGATGGACCCTTGCCCCTTGGTTTTGACGAAGCCTGACTCCCCTGAGTCTGAGAGAAGTCTCCCAAAATTCCATGGCTATCTACCTCCTCTGTCTGACTTAAGCCTGAAACAATGACTGAGGGTGGTGCAGCCCTGTGCTGAGAATGGTGGGCTCCCCAGGTGATTAGGCCTGAGAAAGGATATGTAAAATCCTGTGAAGCCTGCTTTGCTAAGAATGTTATTAGTTAAATGATAAGGGCCCCAGCAGAAATTGAGTTTGCTTCCCCAAAGTTTTGTAGCCTTTTAACTGATAGACTCTGACTTAGAAGAAATCCTAATAGTTCTTTGTATGCTATCTACTGTTTACTGCCTGACAATGATTAATAAGTTTTACCTTTACTCCTGCACAAAAAAAAAAAAACAACAAAGCCTATCTAGGCAAGGGTTGGGGCGCTCTCCCCTTGAGAGAGTGGCCAGGCCGTTCTGAGGCTCTCCCGCCTTGAGGGAGCAGCCATGCCATCCCTTTTTCTCCACAGGACTCGGTAGTCCAGGAATTTGTCTTGACTTATCATCCATAACGCCGCGGGCACTGCAGGCCAGTTCATGCGTGACTCATCCACAGCGGTGGTGTGATGTGGCACAAGGCCACAAATGTGCCAGACCTCCTCCTCTCCAACTGGGGTGACGATGCCTCCCTCACCAGAGGGTTAGAAGGCCCTGGATGCTTGGCTGTCATTATTTCTGTCATGACTTCTTTCCAAAGTTTGCCCTTTAATTTTTTTTAATCCTCACCAGAGGATGTTTATTGATTGTAGAGAGAAAGGAAGGGAGAAAGAGAGAAACACAGATATGAGAAGCATCAATAGGTTGCCTCATACCCTGACCAAGGATGGAAACTGCAACGTACGTATGTGCCCTGAATGGGGATAGAACCCACAACCTTTTGGTGAAGGGATGATGCTCCAACCCAATGAGCCAACTGGCCAGGGCAGAGTGTGCCCTTTAATAGCATGGGTGGCACTGGGTAATGTCAGCTTGGTCCCACCTTGCTAGAGCATTCTGCCCTCACGTTCCCGGTCACAGACAAGTGGACTGTATTGTCCACGGGACGCCCAAACCCAAACAGCAGGAAGGGTGGTCTGCAAGCTGCTCTGACAGCCGCACCCCTGACTGCTGGCTCACATCCCAGGCCACGCCTGCAGAAGCGCCAGGGCACCTGGAGAGAGAACACAGCCTGGGGGGCCACCAAAAAGGACAGCGAGTGGCCTTTTGATGCAGATTCATAGCTCCACTCTCTCAGTCCTTTTGAATGCAATGGCCGCACAGGACACATGCTCACTCAACACCATCTACTGTCCCGTTGACCAGTACAGTGAAGTTGTCATTGTTCACGCATGCGCCTTCCAGTTCACTCTCCTCGGCTGCCAGATTACATCGATACCACACAAACCATTCTCGTTATATTAACAACGGCTGGACTTTTTCCAGACAGGCCTCATATACCATGGATCTTTTTAACACAGTTCATAAAACAAAATACTTGGGACCACAAAAGAAGTCAATTATGTTGAAATAAATGTATTAAAGTATCTTTAAAGCACTCTGGAGCGATGTTCTGTGCCACTATGAGTGCACTTGCTCATTGCTGTCTCTACCAATGACTTCCAGCTCCGCGCTGAGTCACTGTGTTTGTGGTAGAGGCAGCAGAGCTCTGTCCTTACTGGGAAACATACACAACTACACTACGATGTGACAGTATCAGTGACTTCTTTTGGAGACAAAGGCAGAGACTCTACTGCTATATGGTTCAGTGCTGTTGGGAACCACTCTGCCTGGTTTCAGGATTTGTAACTACCTCCCATGGCTAAAGATGAGTGAGCGACCTCTGGAATGCGAGCCACAGGAGACAAAGCTTGTCTCTGGTAGCGAATGCTGCCTCAGTTTCCTCCCTGCCCCCAAAGCATGGTCAAAAGTCCATGATGGGTAAGTCTCCTCACAGCAAGGAGCAACCTAAGCCAGACTCGATCACTTGGGAGGCCATCATGGAAGGACTCGGGGGGCTGCAACAAAGAGCAAGCAATGGACCCTTGCCCCCCCGGCTATGTGACATAGCCCGAGTCCCCTAGTCCTCTGGGTGAAGCAATTCCTGGCTCTTATCCACTTAAGCCTGAATACCTGCTGGGGAGGGGTGCAGCTCCTTGCCTTATTAGAGCAGTTCCTAGGGGAAAATCTGGCATCACAAAGACTTCCTGATAAACCTGTGAAAACTGCTCTGCTAAGAGTGCTTTCATTCATATGTTAAGGGTCCAAGCAGGAAACCCTAAAGTTTCTGCAAAACCCTCTTCCTGACAAACACTGACTCAGACTAAGCCCTCAGACTTCTTTGAAATGTTATCTACTGTTTGACACTTGCCGCCCTGTACTCCTGTGTATTACAACCCAGTAAAAGCCCTTCCCTTCTGAGGGATCAGCCACCTCTCCTCCCCAAGCCAATCATTTACCTTCATCTGTGGTGGACGGGGGGGGACTTGTGGGCAAAGCCGCCCCCACACAGTGCCTGTTATGGGCTGAATTGTCTGCACCCTAAATTCATATACCAGAGTCCTAACCCCCACTACCTCAAAAGGCCCCGTTATTTGGCAACCAGAAATTGACCCAGTTACAACGAGGTCATTAGGGTGGGTCCTAATCCATTTACAACTGGTATCTTAATTAAAAGGGGAAATCTGGACACAGACACACACACACACACACACACACACACACACACACACAGAATGTCACGTGACGATGTCACTGACTGGGGTGCTGTTTCTACAAGCCAAGGAACCCAAAGATGGCCAGCAACCATCAGAAGCTGGGGAGAGGATGGGACAGACTGGATGGAACCAGCTGGAACCAGCCCTGCCAGCACCTTGGTTTTGGACTTCCAGCCTCCAGAACTGGGAGACAGTAAGTACCCGCTGCCTAAGCCCCTCTGTGCGTGGTACTTTGCAGCCCCTGGAAACTGCTCCAGTGCCCAGAACCATGATGGAAGAAGCACTCAATTTCAGTTAAAGGTCCATAAAAATAAGTAATGTTTTCCCTATCTAAGGTGTCAGACCCCAGGGTATTGCTCCTGGTCGGCGTTCGGGGTCTTCTCCCGGCCTGACTCTCACGTTTCAAAACTGACGCCGGCAGCAACTCGAGGAGCAGGAAGACAACAGCCCTGTGGACATCTGGGCAGTGGGCCAGGCCACCCCTGCATTTCCTGTCACTCTGAGGTCTGTGGTTGTCACTGTTATTTCTATCTGACCTGCCCTTCCGACAGAGCTAGGGCTGAGCTTGGGCCTGGGAGTCAGGATGGGGGTCGAGCACAGTGGGACACTGTGAACAGCACACAGTGAGAGTTTCCAGTCTTTTTGGTAAAAGATTTTTCTTTAATTTTATGAAAAAAAATGGTAATAGTGCTGACAATTTTTAAAATTTTCCTACTTAACAAATCACCAACTCTATTTCAACCCCTCCCCCATTTAAGAAATGTCTTACCCTCTAGTGGGGCACCCCATGGCAGCTCCACGGGGGGCCCAATGGGGGTGCCCTCTGGCTGTGGCCGGTCACACCAGCTGCCGGGGACTCTGTGGGCTGTCGCCCAGCCAGGGCTGGGGGGCTGCAAGCAGAGGTGTTTAGAGGGCACCTGGCGGGAAGGAAATTCACGTGTCCCGACCCAGTGAGGAATGGTTTCTTTCTCTGCCTTTCACTTCACCTGATCAGCTCAGCCAAGAGCGGTGAACAAAAATCGCATTCATGCTTCACCTTTCATGCTGGCCGTGGCTGCGGGGAACTTCACTGGGAAGTGCCCCCACCAGCACGGCCATGAGAGCATTCTGTGCGCGTCCTTTGAGGCTGTCCAGCTGAGGACAGAATACATCCTGCTGGAAGGACTTCCGGTGTAACCCACAGGCCGCACAAGGGAACACAACGGCCTCACCCCAGGTTCCTCCACTGCCTCAGAAAACCTCATCTGAGAACCGTTGCCTGAGAAGGGATTAAGCAGAGAGAGAGAAAAGGAGAGACAAGACTCACGGACACAGGCGACGGTATGGTGACTGCCAGAGGGAAGCGGGAGAGTGGACGGTAAAGGGGATGGTAGTGACGGATGGAAGGAGACTTGACTCGGGGTGGTGACCGTACAATACAATGGACAAATGATATGTGACAGAATTGTATACCTAAAACCTATACAATTTTATTAACCATTGTCACCCAAATAAATTCAATTTAAGAAAAAAGAGAAAACCTCACCCGAGTGCGGCAGGCAGCGCTCAGGGGTCCAAGGTTCAACAACAAGAAGAACAAATCTTTGAGGAGTCACAGCCCCCAGGACAAGCAGGGCAGTAACTAGGTACGACCAGCTAGGAGGTAAGTGGGCCTGACCAGGAATCTCCCTGAACCCCCTTCTCAACAAGACCTCAGCCTCTGGAATTCCATGTCCGTCTGTGCATCGCCCAGTTTTAGCAAGAATTCTACTGAGTGGGCTGAGCTAGGACCCCCCACCCTCATTATCTGATCAAACTCCCCATCCTCCGGGCGTGGTATCTGCCCGGCCTGGCCCGCCTTTGGCAAGAACCCTGTCGAGTGGCCAGGATCCCCCCGTCACTCCCACCCACGGAGGCCACCCTGCCCCTAGCCGGGAAGCCCTGCTGCCCGCACTACTATCGGACAATGGCCCAGCCCCACCTCGCCGCAACCATTTCTGAACCAAACCTGTTTTGACACGTTCTCCCCTGTCCAGCTGCTTTTTCTCTGACAAACAGAGGAGACAGCAGGAGTCCCACATGGGGACATTGAAGACGGCTGTCCTTGTAAGGCCCACGGGCAGAGGCAGCAAGCCCGGAGGGGCCTGGTGGGTTCCAGAAACAGGGAACTGTGCAAAGGGAAAGTTTGGAGGCGAGGCTGAAAGTCAGGCAGAGGGAGCTCAGCACAGCCTTACAGGACACGCGAGCAGCTGGACCTTTTCTGAAGACAGCAGGGGGTCCACGAGCCTTCTCTAGGCTTTAAAAGCTGATGAGTCCGGGGTCCGATAGGGCCCTTCACCCTTCTCCAAAATCCAACGGAGAAGCCCCTGCTCACTTTGCATATGGCATCTCCAGTCAAACCAAGTGACTGCAGAGAAGGGGTCCAGGGGTTCATGCCAATGACCACCGGCCTCAGAATCGATCACCGTAGAGTTTTAGGAAGGCACTTGGGGGACTGGCATCTTAGGCAGCTCGGGGCGGCCCTAACAAAATGCCACAGGACACCTGGCGTCCACCTTCTCACTGCTGTGGAAGCTGACAATTGGAGATCCGGCTGCTGGCACATTAAGCTCTCTCTCTCCCTCCCTCTTTCTAAAATCAATAAATATATCCTGGGGTGAGGACTTAAGGGGAAAAAAAAAGATGGCCACTGGCCCATCCACCAAGCTCCTTACAAATCAACTGCGTCCTGCCCTCCCCGTGACAGCTGACTCCCTGCCTGCACCCTCGGGCCACACTTGTTCCCTCTCAGCTCACGGAAGAGACCCGCCTCCTCCCTGTGCACAAGCCCCTCACGCCTCCTTCCCCTCCCACCCCACTGCACCTCTGCTCAGCTGGCCTAGCTTAGCCCTCCGGGCACAGTCTGGTTTCTCTTCAGGACACATAAATCCTTGGCCCTTTAACCCTCCAGGGCAATGTCCTGTATTTATTACCCAAGCCACCCATTGCGTGGCATTTTATCAATTTCATTAATAGGATCAGGTTTTATTATTTCTTTGGGCAAACCTCGGACTGCTGTCCACCTTCCCGCTGGTGAATAACGAAGGACAGAGCACTTTCTGTATTTTTCCCCGCTGTAGTGTTGGCCGATGCACCGTGTTTGGCACACAGAAGCCCACAGGGAAGCCCTGAATGGACCACAGGAGGTGCCCACGTCTCCCAAAGCTGAATCATGCGTCTGTGCCACCGGGTGCACTTCCTACCGGAGAACAAGCACTCGCTTTGTACAGCGTCGCCCCGGGGATGGACTTGCCTTACGAAATTTTTCAGTGCATTTGGGGCTTTTGCTTTATGTACATTTCATTAGGCTCCAATCATTTCCCAGAAGAGCAAGAACCTGGCTTATTTCAATGAAAGAGAAAGTAATATCATAATCTCAAGAATTCCACCCCTTGTTCACACTGAGGAGGCTGGCAGGCACTTGAGGCAAGATGTGGCTGTGATTGAGAGTCAACCACTCTCACATGAGCGGAGTAAAAAATCATGCAGAGGCGAGAGATGGGGGACTACTTGTACCCACAGTGTTGACTCCAGCACTCGCCTGTTGGCCCCAGGACGTGGGCCTAGTAAGAGGATAGAAAATCACCTTCGCTCAGAAACCAGCGCATGCCCAAAACAAAGCACAGCCACCCAGGCACCAACTTCAAGTGTACAGGCTTGTCAACAGAAGCAGCTACACCTCTGCAGACCCTCCCGACTCTCGTGCCTTCACTCTCCAGGGTGCAGAGACCACGCTCAAGCCACTGCTTCTCATGGGAAAACTCCCTCTGCCCGGAAATCTCCCAACCCGGACAGGAGGTGACCACAAAAACCCACAAACGAGCAGAAAGCTGAGTCCACACATCCCGAGTGTGGTCCGCACAGGCAGGCCCACTCCCCAGACCGCCGTGGGCAATTGCAATCATCATCATTTATCTTCTGCTAGCACGTCCTTTGGCTTGTGGGCTATTTTATGCCCTCAGTTTCACTGCAGAAAGTGAGGCTGAACATTCCTTTGTCAAAGTGGAGCCTCCGGTAGCAGACGGGTGACTTCTCCCTCCAGGTGATGCGCTGCTTTCTCAGCGGTCCATTCTCTGTCGTTTTTCCTACGCCGCGATCACATAGCTTCCTCCGGCCTGTCATGACTTGCTCTGGAATAGTGGCAGATTCTACCCAGAACACAGGACTAGAGAAGGCATTGGAGTTGTTTCTCTCACAGAAGTAGAGCGAAACCTCATGACCTCTGCACACTGAGTCAAGGTCAGCTGGCCTGGCCTGAAGCAACTCCTGAACACAATGGGGAGGGGGAAGGTTAAGGTCCCTTTTTAAAAATTTAAACACTGACCTACAGAGTTGTCAAGAGACCTCACTGAAGCTTCAAGGCTGCTCAAGTTAGACGTTCACTTACAAATGTGAGCCAGGAAGAGGGAAACAGTACATAATTGAAGAGAATCAGCAACTAGGAGCGGGGGAAAAAAATCTTTACAGTTTTCTTAAGGAAGCCAATCTCTACATGACACTCTAAAAACAAATTTCAGAAAGCCATCTGTGTATAAATATTGCGCTGGTTATAAACATTCTTACCCAGATTATTACTGAACAGGAGCCAGGTCCGGAGCGGATCTGCCCCGGGCCAGCCTGCAGAGTGTGGGTTCTTGGCTTCGTGCAGGAAAGATTTCAGTTTCACAACAGGAGTCCAGACGGTTCTGAGAGTACATTTATTACGGCTGGGACAGTGAGACAAGGAAGGGCGTAGGGCTGCAAAACAACAGGAGGGAGCTTAGGCAGGGCTGGCTCACGGAGATTCAAGGTGAGGGGAGTGAATGAAGGCGGAGCCGCTGTCCGCTCACCTGCTCACCGGGAAGTCAGAGAACAAAAGGCCTTGAGGGCAGGCTCAGGGGGTCAGCCAGGACGAGCTTCTGCTGCCCACTGCGCCCCAAGCCACGCAGGGACCCTTAGAACTTAGGGAGAAAATGCACATCTGAGAAAGAAATGGGGAAGGAAGGCGTGGACGTGCCCCAGAGGGACCCTGCCCTAGGTGCTTGTCTTGAGGGCTTTTAAAGGGTTGGGCGTTTAGGGCAGCTCTCAGAGGGGATCACAACAGATGTTCATCCGCTTTGTGCTGATGCGCCACAGTAAGATTCACTGCCCTGACTTCATCCTCCTTGGGTGGGGCTGGTGTAAATGATGCAAATTGGATTTCTGCTGTCTCCCTGAGTAGGGTGCTATCAGCTATTTTCCCTGTGGGTGGGGAGGAAAAGTGCCAAGCATTCATTCTTGTGTCCTTGGTTAGGGAAGACAGGAGTTTGCGATTAAACTGCTTGGTCTAACTATCTGCCTCCGTTTCCCTCTTCTTGTCCTGGCTCACTGGCCTGTCTCAGGATCAGAGTGCAGGCCCCTCAGGACACCTCCACAGCCAGTCTGCTCATCAGTCTGTACCTCCCAGGTGTTTCTTAGATGCAGAAGCAAGAACAGGAAATGTTATTACACATAACAACCATTTCACTGATTTAAACTGAACTTCCTCCAAACTACCGAACTTGGCAGCGCCCTACTGCAATGGCGACAAGTAATGCTGAGTCACACCTACCTTTCAATTCTCTTATTACCGGGGGATCGAGGAGCAAGACAGATCATCAAGGATGAGCCTCAAAGCCCCTTTGCAATAGATAGAGCCACCCGTCCACATCGGCTTCTTCCCCACCACGGGGTAAACCATGGCAACCACTCCCCTGCTCCCAGACCAAAGTCACTCAGCCTTCTGCAAAGAATCCCATGTTCGCTGCCCATTAGGAATCTTGGGGTCAAGAATAAATGAGCGCAGGAAGAACAAAATACCGCATCTGCCTGGCTTCGTCCCCAAGCGCCCCAGGAGCCACACGGCTCAGCGCTGTGGGAAGGAAATCACACAAGACACACAAATATTTGTTGAATAAATAATCTAAGGTGAATCATCTGGGTAGAGCCTATGACCATAAAACAAAGGACATTCTTTCCCTGTATCAATAGGCCCCAAAGTGTACCCACATTCACAACTCCATTCCCGTCATAATGCTCAGGCAGAAAATGCCCATATTCTGGGCCCCAAGCTTCTGGCCTGGTGGCTCTGTCAGCTGCAATGACAATACATATTGACAATGAGCTATGCAAACAGTGTTGATTTTCCTCCTAAGACAAGAGCCACTGCCAAGGTAGGCTCCTGATTTACGCACGAGGGCAAAACAAAAATTCATTCCAAACAAATGTTCAAAGCACCAAACGCCTGGTCAGTCTCGCGTCTTCTCTCCCTTCCAGGTGAATCTTCTGGAATAAACAGCCTGTGCTCCCACTGTCAGGCCTTGGCCACTCCCACGGTTTCTGGGAAATCACTCTGCCAAAGGTGACCCACCACCTGCTCTGGGTTGGACAAGAGCTGACCCAGGAATGCTCACAGCCTCTTCTGCCCCGCAACCTCCCCCAAATCCTGCCTTCCCCAGCTTGCCTGTTATGTGAAATTAGGGTGATGGATAAGGGAAGAACTGAGAAACTCTGGAAAAAGCAGAGTTACTAGGAGAACAAAACAAAGCCCACAGAGAAGAACAGAGGCATTTGGGATGAGAGAAGGGGCCAGCGAGGGCTGAGCTGGAGAGACTTTGGAGAACTGAGAGGAAGGGGACAGGGGAACTGGATGGCGCCAGGTACAGAGTGTAGAGATAATGTAAACTTTTGTTGGGTATCATGAAGAAGACTGTCTTTGGTGTTGTTTGAAAAATTTTAGCAGAGGTTCAAATTGCCTTTTGGGTATCAAACTGACGACACATACACATACACCAGATAAGATTCTGAAAGACAAAATGTCAGCCCTTATTAGTGTGGCTCAATTGGTTGGATGTCGTCCCACAAAGCGAAAGGTCCCGGTCAGGGCACCTGCCTGGGTTGTGTGGTCAGTCCCCACACAGGGTGTATACGGGAGGCAACCAATCCATGCTTCTCTCCCTCCCTTCTTTCTCCCTCCCTTCTCCTTTCTCATTAAATAAATAAATAAAATCTTTGAAAAGGGGAGAAGAGGAAAGAACACAATGTCAACACCGACCCACAGGCACACGGCTTTATGCAGATCCGACCTTCCGCAGGCCGGACTGCTGGGTGTTTCTGCCCGGGCTTGCCTCTCTGTGTTTCTTCTCTGCTCACGTTTCTTCTCCCAGATCCTGGATTTTTCACTCTGCTTCTCTTCTGTTTTTCTCATCCCGCCCCTAAAATTCAGGCATGTCTGCCCTCTCTTCTCAATGACACTCCCTTATCCACTTCCATGACCGCGGGCCGACAAAATAACCCGCAAACCCAGGTTGTCCTCCCACAGGTTTGAACTAACTCCAAACCCAAAGGTGAGCTCCGTGTCCCAGAGACATCCTCGCCTCACTCCCATCCCTCCTCTCAGGCTGAAGAGCCCCATAGTCCACGACATCAGCACAGACTGCTGCCCTCTGCCACTTTTCAAAAGCACAAGTCCAACAGCATCGCTCTGACGATTAAAACTTTCCAGTGGCCACCCATGACTCCCCAGTGCACCCTACACTCCTGTCACCAGGTTCCAGGAGCGTGCCATTATGTTTCAGGGCCCCAGGCGGCTCTTCCAGTCCAAGGGCTGCGTTCCACCCAGAAAATCCTTTTAACCCCTTCAGACCCAGCCCGAACTTGGCCCCTTCCATGAAGCTTCCCTGACCAGAAGACTTAACCATTTCCCTTTTGGTACCACAACTTCCTGTACATACGTTTATCCAAATGCTACCAGAGTACAGTTGTTTGCTTATACATCACTCTCCTCCTTACATGTAAGTAGCTTGGGACAGGAAATACTTATTTAAATCTCAATGCCTCATACCACACTTTTCACATAGTGAACGCTCAGTAAACATTTACTGGGTACATAAATATTTACTGGCATGAGTTAAATCGTGTTCCCCTAAATCCATATGCTGAAGTCCCCACCCCAGGACCTCAGAACGTGGCCTCTGTTCTCAACAGATCACTGCAGGTGCAATGTGCTAAGGTGAAGTCATGAAAAGAAGAAATTTGGACACAGACACTCGTACACAGAACACTATGTAAAGACGAAGGCAGAAGTCGGGATGATACCTCTACAAGTCAAGGGACCAACGACTGACCTCAAACCACGGAAGCTGGGGGACAGGCGGGGCAGACTTTCTCTCAGCCTCACCCTGCCCTCTCCTTGATCTTGGACATCCAGCTTCCAGAGCTGTGAGCTAATGCATTTCTGTTTTCAAAGCCCTTGGTCTGTGGTGCCTTGTTATGGTAGTACTTATATGTTTACGAAGTGAATCAATGAATAAAATCACTCAGAGTAGCTCTTAAACAAATAATTTGCACTGTGCCTTTGGTGCGCTTTGCTAAGTAACAAAGAAAACAGCAGTATTAGATGGAACCATGCCCACGGCAAGACTGCATTCGGTTCCGCCACCCTGTGCTTCCTCCTCTCACCATGAATCATCTGAAACAGAAATTTTTTCCCACATACGAGAAAAGTGTTCCCACACTAAATTTTTATTTGTTTGGAAAAAAACTCTACAGGCAGAAAAAGTTATCAAAGAGCAGGCAAACGGTTGTGTTAATGATTTGAAAACAACTGGGGAACTATTTCTATTCGGCGGTGTCCCTTCCTTGGTTTGGTATTTCTACCAGTCTCACCTCCCAGGGACTGCGTCCTCTCCTCTGGCCACCTCGAGGCAACCACAGCTTTCCAGTGAATCTGCGGAAACCACCTTCCCTGAAATAGAAAAAGAAAATGCTAACACACGAACATCATGTCCTAGTCAGAGGACAATCACTTCCTGTGTCTTTTACTATTTCTCAACAAACCACAGAGCAAGCCACAAATGTGTGTGACCTAGGTCACCAATGCCCAAGTCATCACTGCATGAGACACTGCCATGGGGACATCGGAGAGTGTGGCTACAATGGTCACAGGGAGAATTAACAGAACCAAGACTCCACTGCTCAGAAAATTCCTCCTCCAGCATTTGGGTTGACTGTGGAATCTGCTCTGAGCTCACTATCTTACTCCACTCCAAATCTGCCTAAAAGTACACAGCTTTCACAAAAGACAACTTTGGCAGGAAAACTACAGATTTTAAAGTGAAATGATTCACAGTGAAAAATATGACACTTCTTAAAAGCTCATTAAAAATGTTCAGCATTAGTGGGTTTGTTAAAGAGCCCTACTGATCCACTTAACGACACCTCTTCATTTTCTCACTTTTAGTGCCAGTTGTTACAGAACAGACTGGGACCATTTTCCTACTGAAAAAACCAAAGCTGGCAATGTGCCCTAAGAATTTTATTAAGGATATAGATTATATTTTAACAATAAAAAGAACAAAACATACAAATTGAAGAAACAAGAACTCAAAGTTAGACTAAAATAAGTGATTTCTATGCACCATTTTCAAACTCTCATCATTTTCATTTTAAACCAGCATTTCCATTAATATAACTGCATGTGTTTCTAAATAGCAATGTCCACAGATCTAAGAGGAAAACAAAAGGCCATCATCCTGGTCATAAAGCAATAAAACTAGGAATTAACATTAATTTTGACCAAGATCATCAAAAATCCCAACCACTTAGAAATAAAGAAAATTAACTATGAAGTTAAAGTAGAAATTAAATGTGTAACAAGAGATTACTTATAAAACAAAACAGATAACACTAGATATAACTTTTCATGACGTGCTCAAAGCTGCTTGTAGAGGCAAATGTATAGCCTTAACTTTTTTCATTATTAAAGGAAATAAAGAAAAGAACTAAGCTCGCAAAGATTTTACAAACAAAAATTATAGAAAAGAGCAGTAATAATAAAACTGGAAGCAGGATTATATTTATCCAAACATTAAAACAAAATATTACTGATAAATACAAGCATTCTCTCTCTTTCATATGGACTAAGCTCTAACGCATCCAATACAGAAAGTGGGAATTAAAAAATAAAACGAGAAATGGACATGGGAACTGCTGGCTTTATCTATAGCAGACAATCAAGATATTAAGATTTGTGTGTTTGGAACCCATGAGAACCGGGTCAGATCTTAAGTCTGACACTTGTTAGTTATGAGACTCTGGGCATATTTAGCTTCTTAAGACAGTTTCCTCTATAAATGAGAAATGGAAAACTTTTCAAATGAGAAAATAATGTGAATGACCTCCTAAAGTTTTTATGAAATCAAATAAGTGCTTCGTGGTACCCGGGAAGTAGTAAGCTCTCAGGCAGTATTCGAAATAACCCCTAAGACTTCTGTGATGTTAGTTTGCTTGATTTGTAAGGCCCTGTAGTCCCTTCTGACATGTGCTCAGGATACAATCACTTGACGTGTCCCCATGAGGTCCACTCACAAGTGTGCAGGTGGGCAAAGACAATCTTTCAGAAGACAGCAAATGGTAATCTTTTCGAAAGAGAGGGTGACACTTATGATTTCATCTTCAAAGAAATTGCTGAAAGGTCAAATTCTTCCAGACTTAGAATGGAACTGACATGGCAGAATCTGGTGAGAAAGCAGGCTGACATGGAGTGACTGACAAGGGTCAAAATGTTCTCCAAAAAATAAGTCCTGGCAACACAGTTGTGTGCAAAGAGAGGGGTGAGCCCTCCTAAAATGTCCAGCGGTCACCTAGTTAGAATCTGCCTGCACAAAGGGGGACCATGAAGTGCCAACAGTGAGACAACATCTAGGAACAGAACAATGAAGAACAAAGGGTAGAATTTAGAAAACAAGGGTCAGGAGGAGAAAACAGAAGTGAAAAGGGATCAAGTGGATACGAAAGAGAAAAACCACATTGATGTCCCAACAATGGCTAACACACGTCCTATGTTCCAGCTACTGTGCCAAGCACTTTTTATGTGGGAACTCATTCATTGTCACCATACCTACCAGGGGGTGCTAATGTTCTCTGTTCTTGAAGAGACCCCGCAGAGTGAAATCACTAGCCTGGGTCCTAGAGTGAGTTAAAGGTCAAAGCCAGCATCCGCAGCCTGGTAAAAGCACCCATGGGCCCACAGTCCTAAACCCCACTGCTCACCAACCCCGATCTGTCAGAGCCACAGAGAAGTGCCCCGGGGCTCAAAGGAGCCTAAAGAAGGGAGAGGTCATCATCAGTGTCAACCTACAGAAAATTGTGGAGCCCGAATCTCACAGATTTCCAAAAGGCAGCTTCAGTGGAGGAACTGGGACTAAGATAGGAGAGCAAATGGCAATCTTTTAGAAAGATAAAGAAGGCAACCAGGGCAGTCAGCTTGAAACTTCCCATACACAGAACCAACAGCTAAAGAGACCAGGATCCAAAACATGACATGTGGCTGCTGGAGAGCTCCTACACATCCCTTGGAACCCTGCTCAGACACCGCTACTTCTGTGCAGGCTTCTCCCATCTAGTCCTCCCCAGAACTGATCGTCCCTCTCCTCCCTGGACTCCCAGAGCACACGGTAACATCTGCTGGAGTGCTGGTTTGCACTTTCCTCTCTTCCAGCTGCCTCTCCAACTGGACTACGAGCTCTTCATAGTCAGGGACCAGTATTCATCTATTTAACCTGGGGGGTCTAGCCTAGTGTCCCACTTGGAGCAAGTAGGCAGGTACTCAGTAAATAGTTGTTGCATTAAAAAAATGGGATGTGGGAAGGGGGGGGTTATAGGGCTGTTCAGTCAAGCCTAAGGACAAGACAAACTAGGAGATTAATAAGTGATGACTAATGAAGAACTGTGATGGAAACAAGAAAACTGAAAAGAAATAAATGCCAGTCAACATCTTTCCCAAAACTAAAGTCCATGGCAGTAAGAGTACCCTACCGGTTAACAAGTGGGGGTTCGTCAATGACAAAGAGCAAACAACCTGATTTTAAAAAATGGGCCAAGGACATGAATAGACATTTCTCCACAGAAGATTTTCAGATGGCCAATACAATCATGAAAAGATGCTCATCACCACCAATCATTAGGAAAATGCAAATCAATCAAAACCACAATGAGATACTACTTCACACCTACTAGGATGGCTATTTCTAAAAAAAAATTTTTTAATTAATAAGTGTTCGAAAATATGTAGAGGAATTGGAATTCACCCTGTGCATTGCTGGTGGGTGAATGTAAAATGGTGCAGTACTGTGGAAAATGGTATGGCAATTCCTCAAAAAAAACGATTACAGTACAATCCAGTAACTCTACTTCTGCGTATAAACCCAAGAGAAATGAAGGCAGGGACTCAAATATCTGTAAACCTACGTTTATAGCAGCATTTAGTTACAATAGCCAAAAGGCTGGAAGCAACCCAGGTGTCCATCAGCAGATGAATGGATGAACAAAACGTGTTTACATACAGATAATGTATACACATATGGAGTACCATTTAGCTTTAAAAAGGAAGAAAATCCTGACGGACGCTACAACACAAATGAAACCTGAACGCGTTATGCTAAGTGAAGTGAATGCACCAGACACAAAAAGACAAATGCTGTGTGATTCCACTTACACGAGATACCTAGCACGGTCAAGTCCATGGAGACAGAAAGTAGATGGTGGGTGCCAGGGGCTGAAGGACTGTTGGGAGAAGCGCCTGATCATGGGGACAAGGATGCCTTTTGGAGTGATGACAATATCCTGCAACTAGAGAAGGAACAGTTGACAACACTGTGAATATGCTGAACACCATGGAATTGTGGCTAGAATGGTCCACTCAACTTAAGTGTATTAAGTACTTCACCACAATAATAAAAAAGAACTTGGGTTTCATTATACTGTAAAGTTTATGGGTAAAATATATGATATTGGTATTATACTCCAATAAAACTGTTCATTTAAAAAAAAAAGAATCAAGGGTTGAAGGGAAGTCGAGATCAGAGCTAAAGGGAATGCGCAGTGCTTGCTGGCAGTGGAGTCCAGCTTTCCAAAACTGCGCCCCACCAGGCACCGAGAGGCCCCAGGTGTGCTTGGGGCAGTGGGTGGGGTATGGGAGAGGGGCGGGATTGCAAGCCGGGGCACCACTGGATGACACAAAATGAAACAGGCTTCTTTACAACAGGACTTGTTGGAAACTTGCGGAATTGATGTGCACAGCGAATCTCAAAAAGAAGATTGGTGGGCAGGGTTATCCAGATGTCTCTGATTCTGGAACATTTTGTGAGAAATGCATCCCACAGGCTAACGAAATGAAAGAGATAAAGACTGGCTGAGTGTGGTTACAGCTGAGTCATCAGGGGAGTGAGAGCCACTCTCCTGCTTTACGAATCTCAATGACTAGGAATCTATCACACGAAAAATTCCCTTCTAAGTGACTCCTGGCCAAGATGGAGGCATATGTAGATACCAATGACCCTCGCACAACCAAAAGAAGGACAACAACAAATTTAAAAACAAAAAACAACCATGACTGACAAATAATCTAACTGCATGGAAGTCTGACAACCAAGGAGTTAAAGAAAAACATTCACCCAGACCAGTAGAAGGGGTGGAGACAGGCAGCTGGGCAGACAGGATACCTGGCAAGGTGGCAGCTGGAGGACCAAGCAGTCCCACAACTGAGTGCAGATAAACCAGGAGGAACAACTAGGGAACGAGACAGACTACTCAAACCCAAGTTTCCAGTGCGGGGAAATAAAGTCTCAAAACCTCTGACTAAAACACCTGTGGGGGTTGAGGCCGCAGGAGAAATGCCCAGCCTCACAGGAGAGTCTTGGGGAAACCTACGGGGTCCTAGAATGTACACAAACCCACCCACTGGGAATCAGCACTAGAGGGGCCCAACTTGGTTGTGGGTAGTGAGGGAAATGACTGAAAGGTGGAGAGACTAGCAAGCGGCACTGTTCCCTCTCAGACCCCTCCCCCACATACAGTGTCACAACGCAGCAACGTGGGTTGTCCCACCCTGGTGAACATCTAAGGCTCCGCCCCTTGCTACCTAACAGGTGCCCCAAGACTAAGAAATATGGCCCAAATGAAAGAACAGATCAAAACTCCAGAAAAAATACAACTAAGCGACAAAGAGATAGCCAACCTATCAGATGCACAGTTCAAAACAGTGGTATGCTCAGAGAAATGGTTGACTACAGTCACAAAATAGAGGGAAAAGTGAAGGCTATGAAAAGTGAAATAAAGGAAAATATACAGGGAACTAACAGTGAAGGGAAGGAAACCGGGACTCAAATCAACAGTTTAGACCAGAAGGAAGGAATAAACATTCAACCAGAACAGAATGAAGAAACAAGAATTCAAAAAAATGAAAAGAGCTTAGGAACTTCCAAGACAACTTTATGTGTTTTAACATCTGAATTATGTGTTTTCACATCTGAATCATGGGGGTGCCAGAAGGAGAAGAGAAAGAGCAAAAATTGAAAACTTATTTGAAAACATAATGAAGGAGAATTTCCCCAATCTGGCAAAGGAGATAGACTTCCAGGAAGTCCAGGAAGCTCAAATAGTCCCAAAGAAGTTAGCCCAAGGAAGCACACACCAAGGCACATCATAATTACATTAGTCAAGATCAAAGATAGAGAGAGAATCTTAAAAGCAGCAAGAGAAAAGGAAATAGTTACCTACAAAGAAGTTCCCATGAGACTATCAGCTGATTTGTCAAAAGAAACCTTGCAGACAAGAAGGGGCTGGAAAGAAGTATTCCAAGTCATGAAAGGCAAGGATCTACATCTAAGATTAGTCTATCCAGCAAAGCTATCACTTAGAATGGAAGGGCAGATAAAGTGTTTCCCAGATAAGGTCAAGTTAAAGGAGTACATCACCAAGCCCTTATATGAAATGTTAAGGGGACTTATCTAAGGAAAAAAAGATGATCAAAAATACAAACAGTAGGCCCTGGCTGGTGTAGCTCAGTGGATTGAGCATGGGCCTGTGAACCAGAGGATCACAGTTCGATTCCCAGTCAGGGCACATGCCGGGGTTGCAGGCAGGTTCCCTGCAGGCCAGTTCCCTGCAGGGGATGCACTAGAGGCAACCATACATTGCTCTCCCTCTCTCCTTCCCCTCTAAAGACAAATAAATAAAATCTTTAAAAAAAAATACAAACAGTAAAATGACAATAAACTCACAACTATCAACAACCAAACCTTCAAAAAAAAAAGGAACTAAGCAAACAATCAGAACAGGAACATATTCACAGAAATAGAAATCACATTGGCAGGGAGGGAGAAGAAGGAGAATGAGGGAAAAGGTACAGGGAATAAGGAGCATAAACGGTAGGTACAAAATAGACAGGGGAGGCTAAGAATAGTATAGGAAATGAAGAAGCCAAATAACTTACATGTACAACCCATGAACATGAACTAAAGTGGGGGAACGATGATGGGAGGGGGCACAGGGCAGAGAGGGGCAGAGGGAGATAAAAATGGGACAACTATAATAGCATAATCAATGAAATACATTGTTTTAAAAGAGGAAAAATTCCCTCGTCACCTCCTAACTCTTCTCTAAAGTTTAATCTCCCACATGGCACTTAGCATGATCAGTTTTCATTATGCTGAAGGAGCGCCACCACTTTACCGGATGGAATAACAAGTGCAAAATAGGTAATACTTAATGTTTAAAGTTAAATATCGGAACACTAGGCAACAGTTACAAAATAAAGAGAATGACAGTTTGATTATTGAAGTGTGCTAAGGTCCTTGTCATGAGAGAGAAAATGATATAAATAATGAAAAACTTTAAGTTATATACGTTTAAAATGCATCTTCAAAATTAAGGATAATCATTAAAAGAATGAAAATAAGGTTTGAGGCTTGCAAACCAGCAAAGGGAGAAAATGGGAACATAGAAAACTATCAATTCGACAGGAAACCAAAAAAAAGTAAGAGAACTAAAAAGAAAAAAAAAATGTTGACAAAACCACAGATAACAGAATTAAGTCCAAGTACCTCAAGATCAAACGTCTTATAAATGGATTAAACTCAGTTATTTAAAAACAGAATTTGTCAGGTTGGCAAAAAAAAATCCATTTATATTCAGGTTCAAGTGACATGCCCCAAGTCAAGGGACAAAGACAGGCGGGAAAGATACCCGCAAACAGCAGGGAAGGGAAGGGGGCAGATGCCAGAACAGCTGTGACACAAGAGAGAACACAAGCCCTGGCGGGTGGGGCTCAGTTGGAGCATCATTCCATAATCCAAAAGGTTGAGGGTTCAATTCCCAGTCAGGGCACACACCTAGATTTTGGACTCAACCAATCGATGTTTCTCTCTCACACCAATGTTTCTCCCTCTCTCCCTCTCCTTCCCTATCCCTCTCTCTAAAATATCAATAAGTGACTTCCGGCCAAGATGGAGGTGTAGGCAGACACACTGTGCCTCCTTGCACAGCCAAAATAAGGACAATGAAAATTTAGAAACAAAATAACAACCAGAACCGACAGAAAAGTGAACTGTATGGAAGTCGGACAGCCAAGGTGCTGAAATACACATTCATCCAGATGTAGGCGGGGTGGAGTCAGGCGGCCGAGCAGAAAGGGGTCACGGCACAAAAAGTGGTGACACCGGGCGAGCAAGGCACCCTGGGTGTGCAAGATGGCACCAGGCAGACCCTGGGCGCCCAGGCAGCAGCTGGCAGACCCCGGGCTCATGGTGGCAACGGGCAGACCCAGCAAGGCAGCGAGTGTGAGGTGAAGCACTGCGCACAAGGTGGCTGGCTAACTGGGCGGTCCCACATTCACGCACAGATAACTGGGGAGCAAGACAGACCGCACAACCCAGGGTCCCGGTATCAGGAAATAAAGCCTCAAAACACCAATTGAAAACACCTATAGGGGTCAATGTGCAGGGAGAGACTCCCAGCCTCACAGGAGAGTTCATTAAACAAACCCACAGGGTCCTAGAATGTACACAAGCCCACCCACATGGGAATCAGCACCAGAAGGGCCCAGATTGCTTGTGGGTAGTGGGGGAAGTGACTAAAATCTGGCAGAGAGTGGAGCAAGCACCATTGTTCCCTCTCTGACTCCTCCCCACATACAGCATCACAATCCAGCAACTGGGTTGCCTCGCCCTGGTGAACACCTAAGGCTCTGCCCCTCATACATAACAGGTGCAACCAGGCCAAAAAAAAAAAAACTGGCTGAAACAGAAGAACAGATCAAAGCTTCAGAAATAGTACAACTAAGTGACTAAGAGATAGCCAACCTATCAGATAGATGCACAGTTCAAAGCACTGGTGATTAGGATGCTCACAGAACTGGTTAATTTTGGTCACAAATTAGATTAAAAAAAATGAAGGCTATGCTAAGTGAAATGAAGGGAAATGCACAGGAAACCAATAGTTATGGAAAGAAAACTAGGACTCAAATCAATGGAGTGGACCAGAAAGAAGAAAGAAACATCCAACCAGAAAAGAATGAAGAAACAAGAATTCCAAAAAATGAGAAGAGGCTTAGGAACCTCCAAGACATCTTTAAACGTTCCAACATCCGAATCATAGGGGTACCAGAAGGGGAAGAGGAAGAGCAACAAGTGGAAAAGTTATTTGAACAAATAATAAAGGAGAATTTCCCCAATCTGCCAAAGGACATGGAAGTCCAGGAAGCTTAGAGAGTCCCAAAGAAGGTGGACCCAAGGAGGAACATAGCAAGGCACATCATAATCACATTAACCAAGATTAAAGAGGAGAGAATCTTAAAAGCAGCAAGAGAAAAGGAGACAGTTACCTACAAAGGAGTTCCCATCAGACTGTCAGCTGATTCTCAAAAGAAATCTTGCAAGCACAAAAAGGCTAAAAAGAAGTATTCCAAGTCATGAAAGGCAAGGACCTTCATCCAAGATTGCTCTATCCAGCAAAGCTTTCATTTAGAATATAAGAGCAGATAAAGTGCATCTCAGATAAAGTCAAGTTAAAGGAGTTCATCATCACCAAGCCCTTATTTTATGAAATATTAAAGGGACTTATCTAAGAAAAAGAAGATAAAAAACATGTATAGTAAAATGACAGAAACACAATTATTAAAAACCACAGCTAAAACAAAAACAAACTAAGCAACCAACTAGAACAGGAACAGAACCACAGAAATGAAGATCACATGGAGGGATAGCAATGGGGGAGTGGGAGGGGGAAAGAGGGGGGAAAGGTACAGAAAATAAGTAGCATAGATGGTAGGTAGAAAATAGACAGGGAGAGGACAAGAATAGTATGGGAAATGTAAAAGCTAAAGAACTCAAGACACATGGACATGAACTAAAGTGGGGGAATGTGGGTGGGAGAGGGTGTGCAGGATGGAGGGGAATAAAGGGGGGAAATGGGACAACTGTAATAGCATAATCAATAAAATATATTAAAAACTAAAAAATATATCAATAAGTATGTCCTTGGGTGAAGGTATAATTAATTAATGAGTTAATTTTTTTTAAGTTTTTTGAAAAAGAAGAGAATTAAAGCCAAGACCACCAATATGACACCGCAATTCACCATATGATAGGTTAGAGCCTTGATAAACCTGTAAGCCTTTCGCATCACCTCAAATCATATAACACAAAACTGACAGTATTACAAAGGTAAAGTGTATTTTTACACATTTCTCTCAGAAAGTGTTACACAAACAAACCAAAAAATAGTAATAATAGTGCTTGGATAAAAATAATTTCATTTCATAAATACGTAAAGAAAAATATGTAAGTAAATAGCAAATGAACATTCTTTTTACTTGCACATGTACCATTTATAGGAACTAAAACTTAACATAAAAACATAACAAAGAAAATTATGTTTTGAAACTTTTTAATATATACATGAAATAATTATGGATTAAGGAGGACCCAAATACTACTGAAGTTATCGAACATGAAACTAAAAATTACTTAGGAATAAATTTATGGATCAAAAAAGAATAACTTATAATAAATTAAGCACATACTTCAAGAAGAAAGAAAAAAGACAACAAAGTGAACACTTATAAGGCAGAAAGGAGAGAAATACGGATGTGAGTAGTGAATAAAAAGAGACAAAAACAAAATAGAGAATAAAACAAAAATGACATCTGTATACTCAAAAATTGTTTATTAGGAAAACTAATAAAATTCTTGCATAATTTAACCATGTGACACAAATAAATCATATTAAAATTTAAATGTCCTCAACCACAGAGAAAAAAGCTTAATTATAAGAGATGATGAACAACTTTATGTCAATAAATTCCAAAACTTGGATGAAATTACTTTTTAAAAATTCACATGTAACAAAGTTCACTAAAGAACTAGAACCTGAACAAAGCGATGATGTCTATAATCAAAATCCCACCTGTTCCCACTCTAAAACACAATAATACAAAAAGATATCGAGGTAAACTTTACTGAATGTTAGAGGGACCAAAAAAATCTATCGTGTGTACAAGCTGTTTTAAAAGAACAGAAAAAATTCTCAACTTCAGATGGGGATAGTAAAAGGAAAGAAAATTAGAAACAATACCTTTCAAACAAATGGAAAGTTCTTAAATAATACATCAGCTTTTTATGAATATATTCTAGCAATAAGTTAAAGGAGGGGAAAAAACCACATGGTTATCTCAGAAGATACAACAATAAAAAAAGAATCAATAAAATTTAGCAGTAACTCATAATAAAAGGAACTTTCTAAACTTGACAAAGGGTATTCCTCAAACACCTAATATAATCATACTTAATAGTGAAAGTAACAGAATTCCCATTAAGATCAAGACGAATATGTCTGTTACCACTGCGTTTATTAAACATTGTAGAGGCCCTGGCCAGTGCAATAAGATCTCCCAAAATGAGACATAAGAATTGGAAGAGAGAAAACTAAGCTATTCTTATTTACAAACAATACTGTATCAGATCTGATGGTCCAGATTATTATATAATCGCATTAGAGATTTTGGTTCTTTGTGTCTTCCTGGCAAGTGTGAGGGTTGTGCGTCCCTAAACTTTTGAAGCCAGGCATGGTCACATGACTTTTCCTGGCCAGTGAAATGAGAACTGAACGGAATAGTGCTGAGGGATCTCATTGCAGGTGCTTCATGTTCCAGCTCGTTGCTGAGCTTGCGTAAGCACATGCTGATATAAATATGTCATATGATCAAAATATCATGAAATGAATACTCAACATTTGAAGGACAGCTGGTTTCAAAACCATCCTGGATCAGCCCTGGCCAGTGTGGCCCGGCTGGATGGAGCACTGACCGAGAACCAAAACATTGCAGGTTCGATTCACAGTCTAGGCACATACCTGGGTTTCAGGTTCAATCCCCAGTCCAGGTGCATATGGGAGACAGCCAATCAATGCTTCTCTGTTGCATCGATGTTTCTCTCTCTCATCCTAAAAAGCAATGGAAAGACATGCCCTCAGGTGAGGGTTAAAAAAAAATGTATTCCGAATCAGTAATGGACTTGACCTACGTGAAAATAAATTTTTACGGTATCTGAGAAAATAAGATCTTAAGACGTCTGGGACTCCAATGCGTGGCTCGGAGCCCAGGGCTAAGTCCACACCCAGGAAGGGGGTACAGAGCCTGAAAGCCGCCCGGGATGGGGCTGAGCTGGCCTAGTGCCTGACTTCGGACGGAGGGCCACAGGCCCCGTCTCCCGATGAAAGGATGAAGACTGTCGCCCATGCAAGGAAGCTTGGCCAGGTATGCAGATTCCCATAAAATCAGACGTGGGTGGTGGTCCTCGTTTACTCAAAGTCCCTGCTTAGAAACCCTACAAAAGAAAGGGGGCCCTATGTCTGGAGAAAGCTTTGCCAACTAAACACTGCCCTTGTCAATTTGCTGAGGTGACAGCTTGGTGAAGTGACTTCACACTCTGAGCTGCAATTCCAGGACCTAAATGTCAGTGGACCTCACAGTGACATCCTCGCTGCGCTTATCCCAGCTTCTTTATTTCCTAACGTACCTAACAAAGAACCTGTATAAGATGAACTGACTTGAATCCAGAAGTATACGATTGTCTGACCACTAGGCTGTACAACTGAATCCAATACAAAATAATACTGAATGTAAACTGTAAATGAAAAAGAAATTTTTTTAATTGTGAAAAAGGAAAAAAATAAAAGGAGGTAGAAAACAGGCCTGAACAGAATGCAGCCACTCCTTAAAAGAAAGATAGAGAGATAGGTAGTTTTTGCCAGGCCGTACATCACATCCCCAGAACTTATTTATCCTACAGCTGCAACTTTGCACCTTTTGACTCCCTGCACCTGTTTTGCCCATCCCCCACCCCCATCACTGGCAAGCACCAAGCTGTTCTCTGCATCTGTGAGTTCAGTTTTGTATTGTTTTGTTAGATTCGACACATAAAGGGAGATCATCCAGTATCTGCCTTTCTCTGACTTATTTCACCAGAAGGAAGGTATCGAGTGTGCTCCCTGTGCAACAATCTGCATATTGCATGTACCAGTTTAAGAAGAAGTGCCATACAGATAGGCATGAACAAGACTCTCTCACTTTACTGAAACGTGTTATTGCGTGTGAGCAGGGGCAGAATCAGCAGGCAGTTCCCCACCACTGTGAGTCTAGGAACCTCTTGTCCGTGGAGCATGGACTGCAGCAGCCCGGCCCCGCCCCCAGCGCTCCCTGGAATATGACCCCTCCCCAGATCTGTATCTTCCTTAGATTCTCCTCCTCGGTCTCATGAAACAAGGGCAGAGACAATAACTGAGAGAGATGCAGAGATGGGAGGGGATGTCCACTGTTTACAAAAGGTAATTTTTTTTTAAGTTTGTCATGCTACCGTAAAGAGAGTAAAGGAGCTTTTACAACATCTGACTGCCGCAGGTTTGAAAGGGTTTTCTGTTACTGGGAGCTATATTTATCCCCAGGAAGTCAGAAACCTAAACCGAAAAAGAAGTGAAACAGAAAGAGGACTTTTAAAAAAGTCAGAGGCAACAATAACTGGGTATATTTCACACACACACATGCACACACTTGCTGTCTCACACACGCACACATGGCTGGAATAGATATTGTCAAAAATGTTAACAAACTCTGAAGGTTCCTCACTGCATGCAGGAATGACCCAAAGGGACTTAATTCCAGTCCCCTCCACAAAGCCCAAACCCTACCGCCACTCCTTAATGTACAGATGTCCCTTCAACCACCCTGCCTGTCAGCCTCCCCATAACTGCCAGTCTGCAGGGACCTGCAGAGGTGACAAGTTTTCTCAGATTAGGTTATCCATTTTAACTGTGAGATGTCCATTCCCTCATCTCACGTTGGCTCTGCACCCACAGAGTAACAGAACTGCCTGCCGGGTGCCAGGACAAGGTAACACTTCATAAATAAAGACATCAATTGCAAAAGCTACATAAATAATCCAATTAAAATGGGGGAAGGACTTGAATGACATTTTCCCAGAGATACATGCCAGTGACCAACAGGTCTGTGAAAAGGCGGTCGAGGGCACTCACCTTTCACATAAGGTCAGGGAAGTGCAAACAAAACATGAAGTATCACTGCAAGCCTACTAGGATGCTTGCTGTCGGAGGCAGGAGTCACCGATGCTGGGGAGGACATGCAGGGAAGGGAGCCCACCCGCACGCCTGCCGGGAATGTGAGTTTGTGCAGCCGGGGTGGGAAACAGCACAGAGGTTCCTCAAGAAGTTAAAAATAGAACTGCCTTAGGTGTATCTGACAGCCCCTCTTCTGGGTATATAATTCAAAGAAAATGAAACATAGTCTCAGAGACTCCTGCACTTCCTGTTCACTGCAGCATTTTTTTTTTTAGAACAGCCAAGGTACAGAAACAACCTGAGGGGCCGTGAATGCATGGACAGATCAAGAAAATGTTGTGTCTATCTACAGTGGAATATTACTCAGCCTTTAAAAAGAAGGAAGCCTTGCCAATGGTGACAATATGGATGCGCCCAGATGGAATCACACCAAGTGAAAGGAGCCATCCATACAAAGCCAAGTACTCCATGGTATCACTTCCATGTGGAATTAAAATAATAATTAAATAAAAATAGAAAAAAGTTAAAAAGCCCTGGCCATGTGGCTCAGTTGATTGGAGCTTCGTCCTATAACCAAAAGGTTCCGGTTCAATTCCAGGTCAGGGCACATACCTAGGCTGCAGATTCCAGCGAAGGTCCCAGTGGGACCCCGAGGCCACCAATGGGTCACATGGATGTTTCACCCTCTCCCCAACCTCTCTCTAGAAGCAGTGAAAAAATATGTCCTGGGGGTGAAGATTTTTTTAAAGTCGAACTCACAGAAACAGTAGAGAAGTCATAGCTGGGGCCTGGGGCTCTCGGGGGACACGGGACCACGCTCCACCACACTGTATAAATGAAATTTCCTGAGAGTAGAACTGGAAAGTTCTCACCCCCCGCCCCAGAAAAAAAAAATGTAAATAAAAACAAAATGAACACTGGCAGCCCAAGTTTGATAAAATTTGGTCTGTAACCATTTTACTCTCCGTACTGTAAAAATAAAAGTACCTCAAACCCGCAGCACAGGGTGCTCGGCGGTCCAAAGCGCTCCAGCCAGCGCCGCCCCTGGCTCACCAAGCCTGCCCAAGTTTCCGCGTCGGCACCTCCACAGCGAGCCCGGCACTCTCCCGCCCCGGACTCCTGCGTCCTCTGCCCTCTGCGCTCCACGCCCCTGAGCGCCCTGAGCCCCCAAGCCCCCGAGCCCACATCTCCTCTGGTGCCCGCGCGCCCGGACCGGTGCTGCCCTGTGCCGTCTCCACGGCTGGTTGGTGTGCACGCCCCTACCTCCTGCGTCCCCTGCGTCCCCCGCGCGTCCTCCCGTCCATATCCCCAGAGGCCCCTGCGCCCGGGCGCTGGCACAGCCTTTGGCCCCTGTGTGCGCGCCCCCGCACCCCTGGCCCTCACCATGCGTCCCGCATGGCTCAGCGGTCCAGCCCGGCTGCAGCTGCAGCTGCAGCGAGCTCGGAAGGGAGACCTGCAGAGCCGAGCAGCGGCGGGACCAGGAGCAGCCGGGTCAGGCCGCGCGCCGCCCGCACCTCGGGGTGGGAGGAGCGGCGCGCGGTGCGCACACCGAATCTGATAGGTGAGCAGGCTGGCCGTGGTGTGGGGGGGCGGGCATTGGAGGGCGACACGCAGTGCCCGGCTACTCGTGGTGCTCTCCAACTGTAGGGGGGAGGGGCGAGAGCCCCGGAATCCCCTTCACAGCCCGGCCCGGGCTCAGAGAAGCCTCAAGACACCGGCTCCGGGCGGCGTGGGAGGTAGCAGGAGCCGTCTGCAAGTTCCGCCTCCATGGCCCCAAGGGGGAGAGCATCTTTCTCTGAGCGCCAGACGCTCCCTGTGGTGGGATTTGTTCAGATTCCCTTCGGCCAGTGCTGGGCGCTCCCTTCCTGCCGTCTGAGCGGCGGTTTCAGAGTTAACTTGGAAACACTCCTGTGTTCTCAGAGGGCGGCGCAGTCTGGTGATCCCCGAACCCCCAAGGCCTCCAGAAGGAACACCCTCCCCGCCTTTCAGAAAAGAGATGCATTTTCAAAGCATCTCCTTGTGAGCAATAATTAGTCAAGGTCAGGTTAGGAATGATGCGTTATGGGGGGGAGTTTAACCCTTAGGACAAGGGAATGAAGTGGGGAATATTCCAATTGCCCTTTCACAGATGAGGGCACAGAGAAGTCAGGAGGCACCCTGAGTTGTGAGACAGGTGGGACCCCACTGGGGTGCCACTGGGACCCCAGCTTTTCCTGGCAGGAAACATATACTTGTGTACAAAAATATGCATGTGTATTTTTAAGAGTTGGGAACATATCATTGATCATCTGATTCGGCAGATGTCATCCTTGGTTGCCCAGTAAAACCGAATGGAAATTTCTGAAAATCCCCAACGCTTAAGCCCTACCCCAGGCCAAATGAATCAGGTTTCTTTTCTTTAATCTCTCGGTGCTCCAATAGCTTCAAAACAATGCGAAGCCCCATTTCCCAGTGGTTAGCATGGGATTCTTCGTGGGCAAAGATGAAGTGAGCTCATGTGTGGAACAAGGTGAAGAAGACTCCTGGAGATTTAGGGCCAAGGCTTAAGAGGTGTGGAATCAGGGTGCTCACCCAGCCCAGTGCTGCCCCCACTAGTGGCCTGGCTACCCTGGGACTGATGGACTGACTGACAGACAGCTTGTACCACTGGCTCTGGCATGGGCTTAAGGCTGGTGTTCTGAGGTCTCAGGAAGCTGGCCCATTTACATGTCCATGGCCCATGAGAAAGGCATATGAGAAACCACAGCACTCCTTTTTCAAAGAGCTGGAGAAATACAAGAGCACTGATGGAGACGGGCTTCTTGGCAAACTCTCAGAAGAGGGACTGGAGCACTTGGAAAATGTTCCTGATGATCTAGATCCCCCGAGGGTCCCACTGGATTCCCACAGAAAGATCAGACACAGGAGCAGCCTCCGGTCCACTGGACCTCAAGCCCCTCCCCCTGTACCTAGAGGAGGGGGTTTTGGAACAGAAAGATGGGGGGCCCGTGCCCTTCACTGGAAAAAAGAAAGGGAGAATCTTTCTCACCCAAGAAAAGCCCTTAGAAACTCGTAAAGGAGAAAAAGTGACCCTCGATCCAGAACTGGAAGAAGCTTTGGCCAGGGCTTCTGACACTGAACTCCACCACACAATTGGCTCAATAATCCAACGTCTGATGAAGAAACGTCCCCCAAGAAAGGTGGCAAAGGGCCTGTGAGAAGTGCAGTGAGAGGCACAAAGGTCAAGCTGATATCTGAGTAACCACCAAACCCCACAAATAGGGAAGTCAGGCTGCAGCAGACGAAAACCAACGATGTCAGCTTCCAAGAAGCCAGTCTCAGCACAGAGAACATCCCAGTTCCGACCCCAAAGGCATCTCGAAGGCTTTGGAGACCGAGGCTGCCGTGAAGAAGTCCGGCCTGGCTGCCACGCACCGCGGCGACCCTGCGCCCGTGACCCATGCGGGAATGCTAAAAGGAAGCCAGCTCTCAGAAAGCCTGAACATTGGGCTCGACTTTGTAGCTGGAACCGGGATCCTGGCCCTGGTAGAAGGTCTAAGAGAAAATGACACCTTGACGGAAATCAAGGCGACAACCAGAGACAGCAGTTGGGAGTGGCCATGGCTCAAGGAGAATTCAAGGACCCTCAAATTTGTCTGTTTATTTTTTTCCATTACCATTTAGTCCCTTCATACCCCCCTCCCTGCCCCCACAATCCCCACACTGTGGTCCTTGTCCCTGAGTCCTTTCTGCTCTTTGCTGGATCCCGCCCCACCGGCCCTCCCCGACTAGCTGTCATCTGCTCTCTGTCCATGGGTCTGGCTCTGTTTGGCTTGTCAGTTCAGTGTGTTCATTAGATTCCACACAGGAGTGATGTCATGTGGTGTTTGTCTTTCTCTGCCTGGCTTATTTCACAGAACATCACGTTCTCCGGTAAGGATGCTCAAATTTGGATCCAGTCTAGAAGCAAGGGCCACAAGCCCTGTGTCATCACAGCGAGCAGTCGCCATCACAAAGAATAATGACCTGGTTCCTACAAAGCGAGTTGAAGGAGGCCAAAGGTAAATTTCTGCAAGAAGTGAAGTGTCACTTCAGCAGCCACTTAAAACCAAACAAAGCCCGGGCCTGGTGGTTCAGTTGGTTGGAGCGTCATCCTGATGCACCAAGGTTGCAGGTTCGATCCCCAGTCAGGGCACCTATAAGAACAACCAATGATTGTGAAGATATTTCTCTCTCTCTCTCTCTCCCCCTCCCTTCCTCAATCCCTTCCTCTCTCACTCTAGAATCAATAAATTTAAAAATTGTTTAATTTTTTAAATAAATGAAAAACACAAATGAACAAAAACTCTTCTCCCTACCTATCAGGACTACATTATCAAAGGTGTTCATTTCCATTAACCACACAACTAATAATGTAGTTGTTATTCTTTTTCAGCACTACTTATTTATCTTGGACTTTTCTAATCTTTACAATTGTTTTATCTGCTCAGGGGCACCTCTGGCAAGGTTGTAGCCCTCAGGACGCTGAAAGCTAGTCCGGTGAGCCGTTGGAGCTGTGGTGTCCGTGGCTGACAGGCGTGATACCCGGAGACTCCCCATCACCCCACTGGGGGACACCCCGCCCCACCTGGGCTGACAGCGCCCTCCACAAAGGGGCCGGCTTTTTCCCCGGCTGGGTGAGGGCTGCAGAATATAACTGCGAGCCCAACCTTCCAGGGGCCGAGAAACTATTGGCTGGAGCCGGTATGGCCCTCCAGGTTATAACAAAACAAGGCTGTGGCCAGTCACACCGTACAGGTTGGGACAAGTGTAGCCCCTCTTCCTTCTGACCAGATGGGACCACATCTTCCCCAACAATTGAGGGATTGTCACTCTGAGTGGGACCAGAAAAGGCAGCAGCCCACACTGGTTTGATGAGGGTCAGATTGGTGAGGAAGGCTGAAGTCGGATGACACAGCACCTGTGGGAAAAGAGAAAGAGCCAACAGCCCTGGCTCGGTGGCTCGGTTGGAGCAGCATCCGAACACCAAAAGGTTGCAGGTTCAATCCCCAGTCACAGCACATACCTAGGTTTTGGAGTTTATCCTGGTCGGGGCGTATATGGAAGGCAATCTGTCAATGTTTCTCTCTCTCTCTCTCTCTCTCTCTCTCTCTCTCTCTCAATAAGCATGTCCTAGGGAGAGGCTTTAAAACATAGAGCCCTCCAGCCCTCAGGACACAGCCAACGTGTAGCTAACTGTGTAGGAACCTGCATCAGTACATCTTGTATTTCGTATCTTCACATAAGCATTTTATTTTAGTGTTACTCCAGAATAGTGCAATTTGGGGCACATGAAAAACCCAAGGACTCTTAGAAAATGACCACTGACTCGGCTGTTGAGGTGGCTGTTGACACTGAATCTTCACCGTCGTGCTCTGTCACTCTGCCAGGGGTACGCCCTGTCCACACCTCCGGTGTGTGTGGGGTCCTGACCCCAACCAGACTCCGGAGTCTAAAACTAGACATTCACCACCTGGCTCCTTTCACTCAGCATAATGCTTTCCAGTTCCATCCATGCTGTCACAAAGGGTATGAGCTCACCTTTAACAGGAACCTAGTCAACAAAACAAACAAGCAAGCAAAATACAACCAAAGACACTGACGTCGAGAACAGGCTGACAGTGACCAGAGGGGAGGGGATTATAGGGGGAAAGGGCAAAGGGTTTGCAGGAACAATTATAAAGGACACATGGACAATAACAGGGGCGGGTAGAAATGGGAGGGAGGTGGGAAGGGCTGGAGTAGTGGGGAGGGGTGGGGGGAAAGGCAGAAAACTGTACTTGAACAACAATTTAAAATATAAAATAAAATAAAGAATTTAGTATGATCAAAGTGAAAAATAAATAAATAAAACAAAAATAGGCGTTCATCCCAAATCTTAAGGCTGGGAGTCCCCGGCCTGGGAGGTGATGGAGAAGTAGCAACAGCTGGGTCCGCGGCCTGCCGGATCTCCTGTGAGTGGGCTGCACCTTCAGCTTCCCCAGCTGCACCCTGAGCGTGGTCACAGAGTTGTCCCGAGGGCCCAGATAGTGTGACCAAAGGCTGGGAACCCTCCTGCGGCATCCGGTGCTTTCTCTTTTATACGACTGAACTCTAAGGCACTGTCCGTTCTCTTTCCACATTTCACTGGAGTGTCAGGCACCTTGCCCATGTCTCAACACGGCCTTCAGAACACTTGCCACCCCAACAAGAAACCCATTCTTGGAGGGACACGTCGTTCTCATCAGAGAAGCTTTCTACCTGGTTGCTAAGTGACTTGTTGAGGTGTTGACAACTTCACACTTAAAGATCTTTCTACACCTGCGGAGATTTTCCAGTTCCCTGCGCCCTGTAAACAGCATCACACTGGAGAGAAGCTTGACTCCCAAGGCCGTTGGCGAGAGAAGAGGTTCATTCAAATGCATGAATTCTGGAGCATCGGCTCGATACATTGCTTGTCCTTTGAGGAGGGCACCAAAAACAAAAAAGATAAAGGTCATTATCCTTGTCCTTCAGGGACACCCAATGGCAGAAGAGAGAGACCCACTGGTTGGTCAC